CAGCCTTCCAGGGGCCGTATCAAGCACAGTACGAGTAAATAACTCGATAACACGAGTACATGATATTAAATAAATTTATTTAGCATACAAGATAAGCACAAGAACTTATTTGTAAATCAATAACAACAGCGGAGAAAGTAGCTCAGAAACACCTGTATGAAATTAGAAAAATGAGCATTTAATCACTAAGGAATCGAAACTGACAGTTGAAATTTTCGATGAAAGGAAGAAAAGAAATAATAAACAGCACACCAAAACGAAATGGTAAACATAACTTACCTTGAAAACTGTGACCAACCAGCAAAGGAAAGCCGAACAAAGATTACTCAAAACAAGGTAAACTCTGCACAGACAGCCTGATTGAACGATATCCCTTACAATGTAGCAATGACCGCCGTCTCTCGGACGATCACTCGAAATTGCTGGTAGTAGTTATGACCTAATAGAAAATAAGTTAACGAAGATAAAAAAAAAAAAACCGAAGAGAATAATAAGCCTTCAAGGATCAAGGATGGATAAGGATGGAAAAAATAAACACTGATTACAAAACCACTGACGAACTTGAAACATTTAGGCAGTAAACTTTCAAGATACGCAAACCGTGGCTGTGGTCTCAAGTATCTCTAGTTTGAATATATTTTGTCCCGTATCGCTAGTACGTAGTATTCGCACGGCATAAATTATCGATATAGCATATAAGTCAACAAACCACATGGATGTTTTGACATTGTCGAGTGCAGAGGCTCCAAGAACACAGGTGAGACTTCAAACAGCTGTAGTTGTTACTGTTTGCGAGGTTATTTTTTTTCAGATTCAGTTGTTTCATTTTGTAGGGTCCCCTTGCTCGATATAACGCTTCAAACAAAAACCGCAAAGGTTTGTTTTGGGGATGAATGTTGGCTAGGTGGATGTCTATGGATTTCTACGAGACATTTTCACTGTCACGGGACAGATGGGGTACAGCCATATTAAATTTGTTTCAAAACTTTTGCATTGCAAAACTTCTCCTGAGCCTCCGTCTTTTTAGCAATATTTTCAAAGGGAAATATCAACTGCCCTTAACTTGTCGTCATTATTCCATGTGCAAGACTAATCGTTTACATGAGTCGCCGCCCAGCTACATCTTGATCGAGGAACTCAGGATTTTTTTAGACCGTAGATTTTATACCGACAGACGTGGTAAACATTCACTTGGATATCATTTTTGGGCCACTACTATGGTCAAAATTATCAAACAATGACAAGACTATAACTTTGTTATCTAGGAAGAAATACCTGGCCAGTTTAACAGCTGAATGCATAAATTACCGACTAACCGCATTAGACACAATCATAACCCCCCACCCCGGGAGGTACTCCCTTATATGGGTTATGTAGGTATGTGCGGCCCCAAAGGGTATAGTTTTCAGCCGTTTTGGTCATGAATAGGGTATGGTTTTTGCACTCTAGCCTAGATATAGGTATTTTTTTTTAAGAAGAAGCCACATTTTCGTCATTATCGAAAAGAAAATCAATAAAAGCCCTTCGCAAATTATGTTTACAATAATTTAACGTTGGCCTGAACTAGGAAACTAATTGTAACGCAGGTCTGAAACAGGATTTTGATTTTAAGGGTCAGGTCATGAATAGGGTTTCGAATTTATGATCAGGTCATAAATAGGGTAGGGAATGTTGCAGATTTTGGTCATAAATAGGGTAAGGGTTTTGGGAAGTGGGCCGCACACCCCCACCCAATTTTTCTGGGAGTACCTCCCGCCGGAGGGCATAAAATCTTTCACTAGTCTTAGATCATGATATTAATTTGTAAATTTCTACTGTTGCAAATATCGCGCAGAGAAAATTTAATGAATCTATGTATTCAATTTTC